GCGAGGAGCCAGGCTGGGGGTGGGGGGGCTTTGTTGCCCCCAAGACGCCTGTGCCGTCCGTGGCCCCAGAGGCCCCCAGCCCCTGCACAGACGGCCTGGTGTACGAGCCGAATCAGCCAGGCCGGGGTCCAGAAGTCACCTGCCACCCTACTCAGCGGTGATGGCACCCACCGACCCCAGCACACACAGCAAGAGGCCAATCCCAGACCTTTCACTGAAGCTCTCTAACCAAAGACATTCTTTCTTAGAGTAAAAGAGCAGGGCGTTCCCGAACCGGCCTCTACGTCATGGCAGCCCCGTTACATCATCATCAAATGCAACACACGCCACACCTCTGCTTTTCCCTCTAATTGTCTCCATTAATGGAAGCTAGTCACCCATTTTTTAATCCTCTCTCCAGAAAGACAATCCTTTGATTTTCACTATTTTAGCAAAGTCTTTTTTTCTATTCTAGAACTTTTCACTTTTTCCCTCTCTCTCTGGCTCCAAATATTCCCAAGGGCAGTGCAAGGGCTCTGTCCCCTCTGTCCATCCTTTGCGGCCACGTTTAGTTCTGCGATGCTATGACAAATTCCTCGTGTTACTGACTGTGGCCAAGTCATACGGGCCACCTAGGGAGGTTCGCTTTACTGGCCTCCAGAGAGCTGGATACATGCTTCATGCTTGTTCTTCCATTAACAGAGGAGGAACCCTGTGATCTCTCCCCTCTTCCTAGGGACCCCGATTTTGAACAATAGCACTAACGCTCTGGGAAACTAGGGAGAGAAGTGGTCTCATGGATTCCTACAGAAAGCATTGGAGCATCTTAATACTACACATTCTTTGCAACCGATCAACAAGCCAAAAGGAGAAGAGAAAACCTCACAGTATATTGCCCCCCCCCCTTTTTTTGGCTAGGGGGAGGGAAAGGTGTGGCTGCTTGTAGGAGCATCAGGCGAATTTTCCAGGGCCTGGAGCCCAGCTGCAGGCAGCGCAGAGCCCCGCATCTCCTGGGGTGCACGGCACCTGCATGTCCAGGTCTCCTGGCTGCACCCTAATACCTGTGAGCATCACGGGTGTGTGGCCAGTCCCCCCAGCTGAGGTCGTGAGGTCAGCCCAGCCCACAGCGTGTTTGATCTGAGGGACGATCTTTGTTCTCTGGAATTCTCTTCCTTCCAGAGTCACCCAAGACTGGTCTCTTAGATCTTCAAGGCTGCTGCCCCATCTCTTGAGATAAGCAACAACGCTCTGCCCTGGCTGCAGTGAGAGCGTCCAAGTCTCCACCGAGGCTCTGCCTCAGGAGCCTCCCCTCACACAGGCCCAGCAGATGCCTGGTGCCTCGCGCCCGGCCAGGCTCTACTCATCTGACAGCCCCAGCTCTGGAGGCTCAGGGCCCTACCACGTGCCCATTGTTGCGGGGTGCCCAGGACACAGGGGTTTGGCGAGCGCCAGCGCTAGGCAGCAGATCATCGGGTCCCAGGGCACCTGCCTTCAGAGTCCAGCCTGGCGACGCCCGCGCTACGCGGCCTCGTACGGTGGGCCATCAATATAAGTGCGCAGCGTCCTGGCACCTTCAGGAAGGGCAACGTGAACAGCAGGGCATGCGTGTCCACGTTGGGCCCGGACCTCAGGCTGGCCAGTGGGATTTCTGCTTCCTTCCCTCCCTCTGGACATCTGATCATATCGCTTCGACCTTGCTCTGGGCTCCTGTTCTTCAAAGCAGAGCAGCAGAGAAGGAGGAATGATATTTCCCTTTCCAGAAACCACTGTGCGGGCTTTACTCTGTTAGTCATGGTCAAGAGCAAAGAGAAAGCAGAACCAGAAGACTCAAACACTGAAACTCGGGAGTGTCCTCACTACTGACTCACAGTATGATCCTGGGTAACTCAGTGGGCAGGGGTTGGGTTCAAATCCCACATCTGCACTTACAAAGAGAGACCATGAGCAAGCTATCTAAACACCGTGTGCCTCTGTTTTCTCATCTGCAAAATGGGGTTAACAATAGTTACCCACTCAGGTAGATGTGTTTCCCACAAGGCCTGGATGCACACAGGTTGGCACATAGGAAGTATTCATAGAATAACTGTCTACTCTCTCTTTGAAAAAAAAAAAGGGGGGTGCCTGGCTGGCTCAGTTGGTGGAATGAGCGACTCTTGATCTCAGAGTTCTGAGTTCAAGCCCAGAGTTGGGTGTAAAGATTACTTAAAAATAAAGCCTTTAAAAAAATAATTGTCTACTCTCTTCAGTTATCATTTTTGGCTGCTTCTGCTACAGAGCCCTTCAAACTACAATGAGCAGCCCTTTTTACTGACTTGACCTACCCCTGGGGACGAGTCCTTGGCACAAATGGGCAATGAGACAGGGTTCTTGAGCATGGCAAACAAATAGAGGAGGAGATGAACTTGCCACAAATAAGAGAGATTTCTCAATGGATATAGTTGAGGGTCAAGGCATTATTTCATGAGTAATAGCTCTTGAAGCCAGGGATCAATAAGAAGTTAAAAAGCAGAAGATCCACTGTTGAATATAACATATTGTGTCTTTGTTGAAGAATATACATCCCTATGCCTCCAGTAAAATGACTCAAGATGGCAAGTGACTCCAATTGCCTCCCAACCCAATACTCTAATTCAGTGGTTCCCAAACTTTCATGTCAAGTAGAATGCAGACTCCCAGCCTCCACCCCAGAGAGTCTGATCAGAAGATCTAGATTCGGAGAAGAAAAAAGAAGAAGATCATCTAGATTCAGAGCAGAGGTGTGAAGTTCTAACCAGCCTCCCCGGGTGGGTGTGGGGGTCCAAGGCGAGCACTCTGAGAAGCAATGTCAGACCATAAATGCTCTCAGTCCCACCCAAGAGACAGAGAGCAGACTCAGGTGAGGCTGAGCATGGAGGAGGTTTTGGAAGGAAAGCACAGCGGTAGCCGCCTGGCTCCATAACAAGCAGGGGGATGTTCTCTTCCCTGTTCTAGGTGTGGAAACTGGGATTCAGGATTTGCGAGACCAGGGCAGAGCTTGGTTTAGTACCCCAGTCTTCTGACCCCAAGCCCTTTCCACCAGTTTTAGGATCAGCCCCAGATAAAATTCACCAGACTCTCACCATCCCCAGGAAGGAAAACAGGGGATTACAGAAGTGGCTCTAGGGCCAGAGGCATGTGGAGACAGCACATCCCATATGCACACACACTCAGCACGACCCAGAGCCGTCCTGTCTACCCTCCTCCTTCTCTGAGAGTCTCTGTGCTGCTCTGACTCATAGCTCCGGGCCGCCTCCTGTATGTCGAGTGCACACAAGGACCACAAGACTCAGGGGTGGCAGCATGCGGGCTTTCGTCTTCTTAAATCAGGACATGTGCAAAAGAGAGTCAGACCCGAGCCTTGAGAAAACTTTGGCCTGGCATGTTCTGGTGAAAGTCTATGCACTCCAGGGTGCCCGGGTGGCTCAGTCGTTGAGCGTCTGCCTTCGGCTCGGGTCATGGTCCCAGGGTCCTGGGATCAAGCCCCGCATCGGGCTCCCCGCTCGGAGGGAAGCCTGCTTCTCCCTCTCCCGCTCCCCCTGCTTGTGTTCCCTCTCTCGCTGTGTCTCTCTCTCAAATAAATAAACAAAATCTTTAA